ATCATTATGATTGATAAAGACTCGATCCAAAGTAATTTTTCTCTTTTTCCTTTGTAGAATAGAATCTATCATCCTGCTAGGTTGAGATTCTAGTTGATCACATCTTTTACCAATAAGAGATTTAATTTGTGCATCAGTGTTTTTCTTGATATCTAATTTGGTGAGTTTATGCAAGACTTTATAGATGCAGTTGAGAGTTTTTTTAACATCTCTAACATTTGATAAGTTTAAAAATTGTGGCAGAGGATCTACAGGATATGAAATGTCTTTGACAATTTTTTCAACAATATTTAGATCATGTTTCCATTCTACGCCTATAGGCCAAAGCCGATCTTTTAGCCTTTTAGACTGAAATTTTAAAAGAATCTTTTTGATTTTGGTAAGAGATAGGTAGTATTGAGAAAGATCTTTTGGTTTTGTTGCACGGTCTTGTGTAGAGATCCATTTATAAGGAATTTTAGATTTACTAATATCTAAAACCGCTTTTTTTAATTCCATTCAGAGATTATTCATATTTGCATGATTGGATGGGAGATCTTTTAAGCGATCAAAATTGTGGTTATTGTAATAAGTATTGGAATAATCAGCAAAAATAGTCCATTTTGAAGAATCCATAGATTTGAGAAGAGAGACTTTTCTTTTAGTATCATTAATTCTTGAACGAGATTGAGATTCATGTTGAATATTAGAAAAATAGACAATGACAATCTTGTGATCGTATTTGTATAAGTACGAATGAATTATGTTACAATAAAAGAAATCAGAAATAAGATTCTGAGAAGCAAAAATAGCATCAATACGACTGGAAGTATTTGATCTTATGAATGTGGGTGAGGGTGTATCTTGATAAATGTCATATAAGTCTAAGAAGTTCCTAAGAATGAGATCATATACAAGATCATACTTCCACAGAATGGTTTTACCAGAATCAATGAGGCGTTGAAATTTGATTAGATCTGCATTAAAATCACCCATGATGATAATGTGGAAACCAGATTGAAGACTATTATTGATAAGTCGTAGTAATGTTGTTTGGAGGACTTTCCTTTCTTTAGATTCAGTGACATGAATATAAACTGAGAAAACTCTTAGTTTTATATTTCCTTTTAAGTAGAGATCAACATAAATATAATGATTATTATCCAAAAATTTTTTAGCAATATGCTTTGACCAAGATTTACTGATAAGTAAATCAACACCCGAGAACTTGTTAGAGACAGAACTCCACAAAGTATCAAAAAATGGATCAGAAGAACATCTAAAAGATTGAGAAGATTGATGTCAGGTTTCTGATAAAGCAACAAAATTAACATTCTTTTGGTGAAAAGTATCTAGTATCTTGTTATTTTTAACATCATCACGAAGAGAATATACATTATGAGTTGTAAAGGTGAGGGTGTTTGTATTTAGAATTAATTCTCTATCATCATTATGTGAATTTTCTAAGTCATTGTCTATAATAAGGGTGAGTTGGTCATGTGATAAAAGTAAATTATAAGAAAGGGGAACATTATTATTGGTAGGAAGAAATAGATTATTATTGTTAATTAAATTTGTGGGGGACATTTCAGGTAATAGAGTATTATCAGTTGTATTAATCATTTAAAGAATGTAAAAAATGGGTGTATCTAATTTTGAGACTGGCTAGCTTTCATTGTGAATTGTTCAATTTGTTTGAATATTCTGTCCATCTGTCTTTTTTGTTTAGCAATAATAGCAGCTTGTCATTCACCATATTAGTAAGATCAGGTTTTGGGGTCAAAATTGGTGAGAGTGAAGAGTCATCACTTGAGGATCCAGCAATGCGAGATCTTTTATTAGATGTATTTTGTGATTTAGGTGAAGTTTGAGAAACGTGTGAAACAATTAATGGATCCTAACAATAGGTGTAGGAATTACTGTAGACGTAATTGTAGAAGAAGCCTGAAGAGATTCCAGTTTGGCGATTCTAACGTCCAGTTCAGTCATATCCTTTTTCATATTAAAGAGAATTGAGAGGATCTGATCCAATTTATTATTGATTTCATTATTCGGATTGTGAATAGAATCCTTCACAGTTGGTGTGATAACATCTTTTGGTGGTGGAGGTGGAGGAGTATTCTTATTTTTTGGTGGCCTCAGAATAGGATTTAGAAGAACAGTTGGATCGATTGGAATCAACAAATTTTCTAAAGCCAGCAGGTTTATATTTATTGTAGAGTCTTTGTATTGAATTGTTTTGAGTGGATGTCTTCGGTTTAATAGATTCTTCATTGTCATTGGGTGTAACTGATTTTTGTAAAAAGGGGCATTTCATAACCAGATGAGCTGGATCGCCACATTTGTGACAGCTTCTAGAATCAGGAGAATACTACATATGTTGATTGTTACCAAAAGCAAAGTTTTGTTGAGTTGCATGATTGAGAGCTTCCTCATTTTCAAAATGTAAAATAACAAAAGGACGAGGCTTATAATTGTTGGATCTAGGAATATAGCTAGCTCTAGCTTTAGTAGCAAGAATTATATCATAAAGATCTCTTGCAGAGCTACCAAAAGGAAGATTCGTCAATTTGATATGGTAGGGATTCCTATATTTAATTTTTTCTGAAGACAAAGTGCAAGAATTGATACAGACAGAATCATTCTGGACAAAATGATTCCACACTTGATAAAATAGTTCAATACATTTAGGGTTTTTGTAAGTAATGTAGGCATGTTGCCACATACCTCTTACTGTCATTTTAAAGTCATTAACAGTTCCATATTTGGCAAAAACTTGTTTAATATTAGCAGGCTTCATTTGTAGAGGAATATCAGTGACATGAATAGTTCTTTCGTTAAATTGCATATTAGCTTTAAATTGGGAGAAATCACAGAAAGTGTTGATCTTGAGATCAGGAATAGTCACGTGTAAGGCTGCGGTAGCCATATCTGACATCGCAAAATAGATAATACAGAATGCGTCAAATTGACGCGATGAATAAAAACTCCTCGAAAATCGTTATTTTGAGCAAAAACATTATTGATAGCGTGAATAATTTTGCTGTTGTTCTTTTCTTTAGGTGTAAACTTAATATGAGTAGCAATTACAAAGGGAGTAGCTTTGGTAATAACTGTAAAATCTTTTAGGTCTTCTTCCATATCTTTATCTTCGAGATATTCATTAGGGTCCAAAAGTTTTGACCTATCATTGGCTGAAGAAGAGTTTTCAGGGATATCATCAACTTTGTCGTTATTTTTATTATTGTTGTTCGAAGGTGAAATAACTGGTGAAATTTTATTGGGAGTGGCAATTTTAGATACGTCAAAAAATTCAAAATCCATTGTTTT